TATTTTTTACCGGGATCTGCATGTCGATCAGTATCAAAAAAGTAGGTGCAGGTGTATCAAAAATGAATGTTTTGCGAATGTGAATCTGAGTCACGAGTCTCCTACTTAAATCTACATTCACCAAAACTCACCTCAATTGTTGTTTTCTGTTCGGTTGTCTCGCGGATAAAGATTCACGTGTTAAAAATGAGTAGTATTAAAGTGTAAGTTTTAATCGCGTCTTGCCGCAATACATTTAAGTTAAATGACTAATATTGACTAATGCATAAAGGCTTGCCACCGGCTCAGCCAACGGAAAACTCGTTGAACTCTTTTCTGGAGTTACAAAGTTTAATAGCAAATGGGGTCCTTTCGATTTATTATTATGCGTTGGAGATTTGTTTGGTGAAAATACGGACGAAATAAACTCTTTGTTATCAGAGGAAATAAAAGGTATACAAACATGCTTATAGGTTAGTCGGCTTCAAGCATTAAAGTACTCATAAGCAAAAAAAAATTTCTATAGTTCCGATAACAACCTGTTTTATGCATGGTAAATATGAGTTGCCGGATGTCGTAAAAGAACGTGTCGAAAAGAATAATGGAGAGTTTTGTCCTAATCTTTACTATCTTGGTAAGAAATTTGTTTGCCCACTTATTTTAAAGATCACTCGACTCAAAAGCAAATTTTCTAAATTGACTTTATAGGTAATCAAGGTAGCATGACCACAGCGCATGGCGTAAAAATCGCTTTTGCTAGTGGTATCATAGATTCTATTATAAGTAATCCTCCTACACAAGTAGATATACTTCTTACATATGAATGGCCGAAAGACATTACTCTTTTATCTTCACAAGAGATTCGTGATGTATCAGGATCGAAAGAAGTGGCGCAGCTAGCAACAAAAATCAAGCCGAGATATCATTTTGCTGCTTCTAAAGATATTTTCTTCAAAAGAGAACCTTATCAGAATTCATTATCGCCACGTTCAAAAGATGATGACACGCAGCTAAAGATGGGAGCTCCTACTTGGTTTGTAGGATTGGCTGATATCGGTAACTCAGCAAAGGAAAAAGTATGATTGGTTATTAACTACTACTGTTAATACTATTTGAATCATCACTAATTATATTTGTATATTTATTATCTATATTTATTATAATTAGTGGTATTACGGATTCAATCTCGTACCATTATTGCACATGCCAAAATCTGGTGCACTGAGTTATCCAAAAGATATGACTGGATGTCCTTTTGAAGGAAAAGGTCTAAAAAGAAAACTAGGAAATACACAAACAGTAAGTTGATTTCACTCATGAAGATGCAGAATTGTGACTGTTTAAAACATTTTGTTTATTAAATAGGACAATGGAGGCCCATCTGAATCAAAGACTAAACGCGGTCGCTCAAAAAGTAGTGCACAATAATGTTAAACATTCTTTTATTTTTTTATTTGTAATATATATATTTATTAGTTATTCTATTTTTCATCTTAATAAATCATAGGTACACCACCAGAAGGTTATGTTTGTAATAAATGTAATAATCCTGGTCATTGGATTCAACATTGTCCTGAAGCCGATCAAAATCAAAAAAGTCTACAGAATAGAAAGCATAGACAACTTACTAAGGATTATATTTGTAATTCGTGCCAAGAAGTGGGAACACATATTCTTGCTGATTGTCCTAATTACGAATGTAAAGAATGCGGCGAAAAAGGTCATCTCCCTAAATATTGTCCATTAAATAGGAAGACGACAAAACAACCAGGTTGGTTACAAAATTTTTTTCTTTGCATTATCATGATACTGAATAACATTTTTACATTTATTTATTTTGTACTTAATACAGTACAACCTTGTTGGTTTTGTTTGTCCAATCCGAAAACGGTTAAACAGTAAGTCAAAAATAATTATGATAACGTGACTCTTTAAAAGTTCATCCCAATTTTAATGGTTTTTGATAAAATTTTCATAGTTTGATTGTATCTGTGGGTAGCGATTTATATTTATCGGTAAAGTGTAGCCTTTTAAATTTATGCTAAGATGAAAAAAAGATTTTTTTTTTATTAATATATAAATGTAATATATAATATTAGTTGGCCAAAGGAGGTTTAATTGATACTCAAAACCCTTCTGCGTCGATTGTACCGGGCGGTGGCCATGCTTTGTTGGTAGGTAGCACGTATTTAAAAGTAACAAACACTGATTTATGCGAATATGACCTTCATTCTTTTTTTACAAACTATTATCAGGTTGCAATCGTACATTACCCCACATTCCGAGAAGCACCACTCGATGATCAAATTAACATGAAAGCTGAAATGGAAAAATATAAAAGCTCACTAAAACGATTTTATCAAGAATATGGGGCAGGAATGGTGTCATTTGAAGTATCATTTTTCCGTAGAAAACAATATCATTATCATGTACAAATCGTACCAGTTCCATTTGAACATGATTCTGAAAAGATTCGTGAGGCATTTATGGAGGAAGCTCATTCCGATGAATTAAAATTTCATCCAGTTCAAGGATCGTTAGATATTGTGCCCGTAAACTATTTTAAAGTAGATTTTCCCGATGGAACTGGCTTAATTCACGAAGTTGGTCCTAAAGAGCTATTTGATGTGCAATACGGAAGGTAAGAATAATTTGAATGTGTTTTGTCGTTGGAGATTTATTGTACTGATTCATTTTCATGCGAAAAATTTTTTTTTCAATTATAGGAAAGTTCTTTGCAAATTATTAGGGTCGCCGGAACGTGTTAATTGGAGGGAATGTATATTACCTGATGAACTCGAAAAAAAAGATGCCGAAAATTTTAAACAAGCATTTTTGAAGTATGATCCTATGGCAAATGTGAAAGGCATTTAAAACATAATAGAAATCCGAACGAAAACATAATATCAAAGGGTTTAATAATCTTTTTGAACAGTATGAGTGATGTTTGGGTATTATTACTAGTATAATAAAAATGCATTGACAAAAGAATATTGATCTGATATAAAAGCAATAGATTTTCAAAAAAAATTATTTAAAGTGTTATATACAATATTTAAGAAGTAAATCGTCAGCAGCGGATTTTTATGGAAAGACCTGAGATTGTGCATTTACTAATTTCCCCCCAAGTTTTGATTAGTTGGGATTATTTGTGCCGATTTACATATCACCTGATTAAAAATGTGGTATCTCAGTTAGGGTTTAGGGTTAGAGTTATAGGCAATATTATACTAAAATTTTGCAAGGAATTTTTTTTATTAATGCATAATAGGTGATTTCTTAGGTGAAATTTTGCGATAAGTGTGACTTTTCAAAAAAAGCGGTTGTTGTTTTGATCTTCGCGTTACACCTGATCTTGCATTCTGATTGGTCAAAATATAAGTTACACAGCTCACCTCATAGGACGACATTCGTATGATTGGTAGATCTACCCGTGATTTCCCGTGATAATTAACCAATCAAATCAATC